GTGTTCATCCAGCTCTACACCTTGTTATCTCAGATTCTCCAGCATCAGCAATTCCTACTATCTCTGCTATATCTAGTCGCTTCTTGAATACATTCAATGTTTTGGCATCAACTGCTTCCTGCGGTAATGAATTCCACAGGCTCACCACTGTTTGGGTGAAGAAATACCTCCTCATCTCCGTCCTGAATGGTCTACCCCGAATCCTCAGACTGTGACCCCTGGTTCTGGACACCCCCACCATTGGGAACATTCTCCCTGCATTGACCCTGGCCAGTCCTGTTAGAATTTGAGAAGTCTCTATGAGATTTCCCCTCATTCATCTGAACTCCAGCGAAAACAATCCTAACCTAGTCAATCTCTCCTCATATGTCAGTCCCGCCATCCCCGGAATCAGCCTGGTAAACCTTCGCTGCGCTCCCTCGAGAGCAAGAGCATCCTTCCTCAGAAAAGGAGACCATAACTGTACACACTATATCAGGTGTGGTCTCACCAAGGCCCTGTACAATCGCAACAACACATCCTTGTTCCTGTACTCGAAACCTCTCACAATGAAGGCCAACGTACCATTTATCTTCTTTACCGCCTGCTGCATCTGCATGCTTACCTTCAGCAACTGGTGCAAAGGGCCCCCAGGTCCCGCTGCACACTCCCCTCTCCCAATTTACAGCCATTCAGGTAATAATCTGTCTTCCTGTTTTTGCTTTTTTAGAAGTTTGAGATCAGGGTCTTAAATGTCTTTTGGGTTCTCTCCCAAACGGTTTTTGTTTTAGAACTGCCTTCTTTAATATAAAGAGTGCTGATGCCCACTTAACAAAAGTCTACAAAAAAGATTCATCGTGGGCCAAAGGGCTTGTTCCTGTGCTGTACATTTCTATGTTCACGGGAAATTTCCTTACCTACAATGTGATTCAAATGTGGAACCGTATAGATATATTTTTTATATAAATGACCAGTACGGGTGCAGTTAAAGGGAGGAAATAACAGAAGGTTACGGTGATATGGTTGTGGAGCTTAACCACTAGAGCAAGTCAAATGGGCTGAATGGCCTGTTTCTCTGCTGTAAGTTTTACACCAATAGAGACACGTGTTCTTCAGTGGCAAACCGGCATTGCAGCTAAACTGCTGCAATCTCCATCTCTGCATGGAAAATTGTTATTCATGCTTTCCATATTATCTATTACCAAACTGTAATGCTGAGAAACTGAACTTTTTCTCAGTGTCTCAAGTTCCAAGCCAAGTTTTACACATTAGCAACTTATTACGCCTCGTTGCAGTCATTTTGAATATCTGGTCATCAATAAAAGAAGTCAATGTGTGCAAGTATTTTGTGATTTCATTTTGATCAAGTTTACTTTGCCATCAGTTTCTGATAGAAGCTATGCTCTGATGATGAATTACACTGGTGCGTAATTACTTTTGTGTGACTCTCAAAACCATTTCTGATGGCCTTTCTCTGGAATTGATTATTTTCTAGTAAACCTTGGAGTTAGTATTTGTGCTTCCAAGCTCCATACTGCAAATCACTGCAGTCTTACATGTACATGTGTGCAACTCTATGCCAGTATTTCAGCATATTTTGAATTCATGGATAATAAATGGAAGAAAAAGAATTGGGAATTGTTGACAAGAGATTTATATTAAAAAAAACTGGGTCAAAATGGAAGGAATTCCCAACAAGACAAATCTGTGGGACACGACACCAAAGCTGGAGAGTTAGTTAACTTTGGATTGTCCTGGTGAAGAGCTGACACAAACCCACTGGGCCATCCTTGAGATAACAATAGCAACAATGTGGATTTATTTAGCACCTTTAATACAGGAAGATGTTCCAATTTGACACGAAGCCACCAAAAACAGGTATTTGGGAAGATAAAGCTTGTTCGATGAAGTAGCTTCTAACAGTGCCTTTCTTCCAGGAGGAAGCAGAGTTTGAGAGATGGTGAGGTTTGGGTAAGGAATTTTGGAACTTTGGGACTAGCTGAAGGCATGGCTGTCAATGGTGAGAGTTAAAAATTGTACTCGAGTCCAAATTGGAGAAGCACTGAAATAATGCCACAGAAGCCAATATCCCATCACCAAGTCATCCTTAACTAACATGTGGAACGTTCTTGAAAGTGGTACAGCCTTGTCAGTGTCAACTCCCAGAGTGTCAGGATGTCTGACACACCAGTTTTTATTTGTCAGCCAGGGCTCCCTGATTGGACTAGATTAACATCCCCAATCAGGGATCTCCTATTCTATGTTGTGCACCTGACTGACCTTGTTACAATCACTACAAGCATATTCCCTCAGAGATGTAGAGCTGCAGGAGATGACAGCAACAGAGTAGGGCATGGCCGTGGCAAGGTTTCAAAACCAGTGTGATCATTTTAAAATCAAACTGTTGCTTAAATGGGACTGAATTAGGCCAGTGAGCAATGGGATCGATGATAGCTGAACAGGACTAAGCAAAAGGCAGGACATGGGCAACACAGGTTTGGATGGGCTCCAGAGTACAAAGAGTAGAAACTGTAAGTGTTAAAATGATCATGTCTGGTGATAACAAAGACATGGATGAGAGTTGCAGCAGCAGATGAACTGAAGCAGGTGATGTTAGGATGGCACGGTGGCTCAGTGGTTAGCATTGCTGCCTCACACCGCCAGGGACCCGGGTTTGATTCCACCCTCAGGTGACTGTCTGTGTGGAGTTTGCACATTCTCTCCATGTCTGCGTGGGTTTCCTCCGGGTGCTCCGGTTTCCTCCCATAGTCCAAAGATGTGCAGGCTAGATGGATTGACCATGCTAAATTGCCCATAGTATCCGGGGATATGTAGGTTAGTTCAACTAACCCATGGGAAATGCAGGGTTACAGGGATAGGATAGGGGGTCAGGGCTGGATGGGATGCTCTTTGGAGGGTGTGGACTCAAATGGGCCAAATGGCCTGCTTCCACACTGTAGTGAACCTATGGTTCTATGTGGAAATAGTTGGCCTACAGTGAGAGTTCAAGTATGTGTTTGGAAGCTCATTTCCAGGTCAACTTTGAAACCAAGGTTGGAGACACTTCAACAACAGACTGTTGCGGTGGAGAGGGAGAGAGTTGGTGCCAAGGAAACGGGGATGGCTACAGAATGACTTGGCCCATTGAGATTATGTGGTTTTTAAAAAAAAAGCACTAATTGGATTTGGCTGTTGCTGTTTGGGCCAGCATTTGTTGCCCTTGAGAAGATGATGGTGAGCTGCTTTTGGTGAGTAGTATCATCAATGGCCTTATTTGTCTGAATACTTTGTTGGATAGAGATTTCTCATCCAGTATTGGATGTTGGATAAGCAGTCTCATAAAACCGGTGAGAGCTGGGGAGTTTGCAGATGTAGTTATGTGATAGAGCTGGGTGTCATCCTTGTACATCTGAAAATTTGCGGGGTGTTCTTGGATGATGCCATTGAGGAATGGCATGCTCTTGAGAACTGGGAGAGGGTCAAGCGTAGATCATTGGAGAACTCAGTGAGTGAGAAGAGAAGGCTTTTGAGGTGATCCTCTGACTACCACTGGGCACATAACAAATGAAACAGAGAGTGTGGTCTTACCAAACTAGACAATGGTGAGGAGTGGTTGGAGGTGGATTGTGTGTTCAACCATGTCAATGGCTACTGAAAGGTCAAGTAGAAATAATTGAGGGATCAATCAAGATAGGGAAAACTGACCGCTGTTTTGCCTAAGAGACAAGAGTCCTCGGTTTCTGAATGGTGCACCTAGAAGATGCTATTATCAGTCAATCTTGAAACATGTGTGGAGGGATTAAAGTGCCTTCGGATGACCTAGATTTTAGGTTTGCTTTTTTGTCAGGACCATGTTTGTAATAGAATCCCTACAGTGTGGAAAACAGGCCCTTCAGCCCAACAAGTCCACACTAACCCTCAGAGCACCCCACTCAGACCCATCCCCCTATAACCCACCTAATCTGCACATCCCTGAACACCACAGGCAATTTAGCATGGCCAATCCACCTAACCTGCACATCTCTGGACTGTGGGAGGAAACCAGAGCACCCGCAGGAAACCCATGCAGACACGGGGAGAACGTGCAAACTCCACGCAGACAGTCGCCCGAGGGTGGAATCGAACCCAGGTCCCGGGATGCAGCAGTGCTAACCACTGAGCCACCATGCCACCCCACTTCTCTCAGAAACCAGTGGATACTTGGTGCTGCATGAACGGTCTGCTGTCATTTGCATCGTCAGTTCCATTAGCAGCCGATTTCACATTGTATAAATGTCACAGCGTCTTATTGATAATGACTCTGCTGTGTCTCAAACGACAAGCCTAGATCTAAAGCAATTGCTGTAGAAATGGAATTCCAGGAATATAATGCTACTTTGCTGGTTAACGGTAATGGCTTCTAAGAAGAACAAAAATCATTTTCATTAATCTGGAATTACTTTTCCCCTTAGCAGCAGAGGTACCAAAAAGTCCATCGTTCTTGCATTGCAGGATTTGGCTAATTATGGCTTGTTGATTTATTGCTCAGTTGTATCTTGTACTGTCTTAGTGATATTGTGGTGATTGCAGCATGAGTTCCAATCAATTTGCAGATTGGGCCAATAAGTGTTTTACGTTCAGTATGAATATGTTGAATAGTTGAATGGTCAAGTGTATTGCACATTTGTGATAAACAGTTTTCGGGTCGAATACACATTAGAATCACTTTCTCATTTATAGAGCGATCCTGCATTATAGCATGCGGTTGAACCATTGTGATTGATCAATGAATGAATTGACGGCATTATTTATCGTACTTGGAGCTCGAGAGCAGCTGGAGTCACTGTTAGCACATCCATGAGGCTAAGTGTGACACGGTTAGAGATAGTCACATCACACCACGTCTCTGGGGCCTGGAGGGCTGAAAGGGAATGCACCATGCAGTCCCAAGAGATACAGGCGGGTACCATGACTGGGTCACAGTCTCTGATTTCCATTTTGGAAGCTAATGAGGATAGTGGTCCTTCAAGGGAGTGCAGACAATGCCCAAAATGAGCAGCTTGACTGTACAGGTGGAGAGGAGGAAGGAAGCGAGAATAATATATATTGAGTTAAAAGAAGACAGACATTCCTGTAGCCATGGAGATGACTCCATGATGGTTTGTTGCCGTGCTGGTGCCAGGGTTAAGGAACAGCTGCAGGATGTTTTTTGTGGGGGAAGGCAAATGGCCAGGGGTCATGGTACCAATGGCTCAGGTATGAAGAGGATTGTGGTCTTGCAATCTGAATTTAGGGAGCTAGGTCGGAAACTAGCAAGCAGGACCTCCAGTGTTGGAATCTCCAGTCTGCTGCCAATGCTACATGGAAGTGAGTACAAAAGGAAGGTAAAACAGATGAATGCGTGGCTGTCGTGATGGTGCAGGAGGGAAGGTTTTATATTCCTGGGACACTGGGCAAGGTGGAACCTTTTACAAGTAGGACAGGTTGGTCCTGAACAGAGCTGGGACTGGTTTACTTGCCAGGCATTGTGCTAGTGCCGTTGGGCAGGCTTTAAACTAAATTTGCAAGGAGCATGGGGAGCAAGTGACAATGTTAGACAAGAAATCCAGGGTGCACAGAATACTTTATGATAGGACTGTCATAAAGAATTGTAAGTTTGTGAGTGAAATTGGAGTAGGGGGAAAGTATTGACATCTAAATACTGAGAGGATGTTTCCCCTCATGCGAGAGTCTGGGACCAGAGGGCATGGCTTCAGAATAAAGAGGGACCAATTTAAGACTGAGATAAAGAGGAATTTCGTCTCTGAGGGTCGTGGCTTTAGAAGTACTTACCACAAAGCGTAGTGGGGCCAGAGTTCTTATGTATTTTTAAGGCTGAGATAGAGAGATCAATTCTTGATCAGTCAGAGAACTGAGGGTTATGGGGATAATACAGGAAAATGGATATGAGGAATGTTAGATCAGCCATGAGCCTGTTGAATGGCAGAGTAGGCTCGAGGGGCCGAATGGCCTTCTCCTGTTCCTACTTCTTATGATCTTGTACGGTCATGTATGTACGGAGTATAGAACAGGTGTAGGTTGCTATGTTGAAATGTGATGTTTTGGCGATTAGAAACCTGGCCAAAGGAAGGTCAAGACTGGGTGTGAAATATCCTTGGATACAACGTGTTCAGAAAAGAAAGAAAAGGTGACATCATTGTTTGAGGCGAGCACTGCAGTTCTGGAGAAAGAAAATGTTTCAGAGGTTGCAAAGACAGAATCAACTTGGCTTGGAGATAATGAACAAAAATATACAGTAACGTTGCTCAGTCAATAGACCACCAACTAGTGAGAAGGATGTACACGAATAAATCTGTGAGGTACATTAGAGAGGTGTCAACATTCTTGAGTAGTTATAAGGAAGGACTTTATAACCCAAATATAGACTGGAATATTGATTTTGTGAAGGGCAAGTGCACCTTGATAGTTTTCAGGAGTTTTCTACAGCAATACATGTCCAGTCCAACAAGAAAGGAGACACTGCTAGATCCTGAAAATGAGGTGGGCCAAATAGATCAAGGGACAGTAGGGTGACATTCAGGGAATAATATTAATTGTGTTATAAGGTTTACAATGACTCTGAAGAATAACAATGGCTAATCCAGAGGAAGAAAAATCATTTGGTGGAGAGCGAACTTCAAAGCAGCCAAGTATGGAGCTGAGATAACAAGGTGTAGAGCTGGATGAACGCAGCAGGCCAAGCAGCATCAGAGGAGCAGGAAAGCTGACGTTTCGGGCCTAGACCCTTCTTCAGAAGATCTTCTGAAACCGAAACGTCAGCTTTCCTGCTCCTCTGATGCTGCTCGGCCTGCTGCGTTCATCCAGCTCTACACCTTGTTATCTCAGATTCTCCAGCATCTGCAGTTCCTAATATCTCTGAAACAAGTATGGAGCTGGGCAGGATGGACTGGAATGAAAGATCTGGTGGGAAAAACTGTAACTTAGCAATGGGCTACCTTCAAAAGGTTCAGGTACAGTCAAGATAAGACAGACAAGTCCAAAGGTACCTAGATGACAAAGGAGATAGAAAATCAGATTAAAAAAAAGAGGGAAAGTGTATTATGACAGGTGCCAAAGAGAAAATACCATTGCGAACCAAGAGGAATAAAGAAGGTTCAGAGGGCTGGTAAAAAAAAAAAATTAGAAAAGCAAAGAGGCATTATGAGACTGGGAACCAACGAAAAGGGAATCCGAAAGTCTTCGAGAATCATAGAGTCCCTGTGGTGCAGAAAGAGGCCATTTGGCCCATTGAGTCTGCACCAACCCTCTGAAGAGCACCTCAGCCCCCCACCCTGTAACCCCACGTTTTATCATGACCAATCCACCTAACCCGGTCATCTTTGGACTGTGGGAGGAAACCCAGGCAGACATAGGGAGAATGTGCAAACTCCACACAGACAGTTGTCCAAGGCTAGAATCAGACCTAGGCCCCTGGTGCTGTGAGGCAGCAGTGCTAACCAGTGAGCCGCCATGCCACCTGGATCTACGGGCACATTAATAGTGAAAAGGTGGTAGATGGAGGAATACCAGGTTCCAAAGTAATGAAATGTAATGATCTTAGATAGAGTCTGGAACACTGAATACTGCATTCTGTACTTAGAACTCCAATTGTAAACCAGAGAAGGTGTTGTTTGTGAGGTACCCTGCTGTTTTAAGTTTTTAATCTTCCTCTTCTGCTGAAGGTTGGACCTAAACGATTAATGCCTGACCTGTGTCTGTGATTGAGGAATTCACCTCCTCACTGTTATTCTTATGAGATTTGGCCATCGTCTTGTCTTTCACAATGTCCACCTTGTGTCTCCTTTGTTGTTGGATGTTTGGAAATGTCGTTGTTTTCTTTTCCATGTGCAGTCACTTCCAGTGGTTAGCAGAATGGGCTCCTGGCCAAACCTAGGAATTTACATCATGACGCCCTTTGTAAACAGTGCGTTTGTTCATCATCTTGATCTTCTATCAAAGACAAATATCTTCAAAAATAGGGACAGAGGTTTGCTTTCATTGTAAAACATAGATAGAACAGCAAAGTCTGACAGAATCATAGAGTCACACAGCATGGAAACAGACTCTTCAGTCCAACTTGTGTCCATGCTGACCATAATCCCAAACTAAACAAGTCCCACCTGCCTGCACTTGGCCCATATCTCTTCAAGCATTTCTTATTCATGAACTCATCCAAGTGTCTTTTAAACATTATAACTGTACCACATCCACCACTTCTTCTGGAAGTTCATTCCACATACGAACACTCTCTATGTAAAAAAAATTGCCCCCATGTCTTTTTTAAACCTTTCTCCTCTCATTTTGAAAATATACCCCCTAGACTTGAAACACCTACCTTAGGGAAAAGACACCTGCCAGTCACTTTATCTATACCCCTCATGATTTTATAAACCTCTATAATGTCACCCCTCAAACTCCTACATTCCAGTGAAAAAAGTCCCAGCCTATTCAGCCTCTCCTGATAACTCAAATCTTCCATTCCTGGTAATATTATGGTAAATCTTTTCTGAAACCTCCCCAGCTTAATAATATCCTTCCAATAACAGGGTGACCAGAACTGCACACAGTATTCCAGAAGAGGCCTCACTCATGTCCTGTACAACCTCAAAATGATGTCACAATTCCTAGATTCAAAAGGTCTGAGCAGTGAACCACTAGCATTGACCTGATATGGAAAGCTGAGGTGAAGCTACAAGCCTGGAGACCACTAGAGTAAATAAAAGTCAAAACTACGATGGCCAAAGAGTTTTCCAAATATGTCAGCACTTCTGTAGTGTCGTGACGGGATCTTGGTCGAAGTTCCCCAAATTATTAAGTTCCAGATGGGTTATTCCAAATCGTGAGGTTCCTGGTTGAGGAGCAATGAACTGTCTCCCCCTTCCTTGTTGACCCCGGGATACCTTACTCCCCAGAACGAATAAAGTTGTCTTAAAAGGAGCCATTTGAACCAGATTTCCTTGAGTAAACAATAAAATGAGTTTATTATTTACCAAGCACAAGGAGAAATAATGCAAATATACCATGTGTAGATGAGAAATGACAAGTTAATCCAAAAAAAGAGACTGTTGAAAGATATATGGGTCAATCTCTGGGTCAGAATAGAT